ACACATTGTTGCACATCTATTTTATTTTTTAAGAAGTATTGATTTCCTTAAAAAACAAAATAAACTATGTTCACAGCAGAAGAAAAAGATAACAATAACATGAAAGGCAGCAGAAAGAAGAAAAAAATCTAGCTGTGTGAGGATCTGTCTTCTTGTGTCATGTCTGCAGTCTCCCTCTTGTGTCCCTTTGTGCCATTACGCCCTCTCAGTCTTTTACCTTTCTCCAGATCATTCCATTGACACCTGTGAACACTTGTAATCTTCTCAGCTCTCCAGACACCCTGTGAAGGAAACTCATTTCAGCCGCTTGTWTYMGCGATCTTGTTCTGTTGGTCATAACCCAAAACTCATTACCATAGATGAGAGTTGGAACATAGACTGAMCGGTAAATTGAGAGCTTCACMTTTTAGCTCAGCTCCTGCTTCAGCCCGAGAGATTATTACAGAGATTATTACATCACTGCAGATGCAGCACCAGCCYRTCGATCTCTTGCTCCATTCTTCCCTCATTCGTGARCAAGACCCTGACATACCTCTTCCCCGACCTGGAGAAGGCACCCTACCCTTTTTCAGCTCAAGACCATGGTCTCGTATTTGGAGGCACTRATCCTTACTTCACACTTSGCTATGAACCGCTTCAGTGAGAGCTGSAGAWCASGATCTGATGAAGCCAATAGGGCCACATCATTCGTAAAAAGCAGRGATRTGATCCTGAGGTYACCAAAACGGATCCCCTCAACATCTTGGCTGCACCTAGAAATTCTGTCCATAAAAGTYATGAATGRAATCRRTGACAAAGRRCAACCTTGGCGGAGTCCAACTCTCACTGAAAATGAGTCTGACTTACTACCGGCAATGTGGACCAAACTCTGACACCGGTCGTACAGGGACCAACCTGTGTCAACGGGCCTGGTACCCCATACCCCCGGCGTACCCCCCACAGGAGTCCCCGAGGGATACGGCTGAACACCTTCTCCAAGTCCACAAAGCTTTTATCCTTAATGGCTTTTTAAGTGATCATTTATTTTACTTTTATACTATAAGTAGTTTCAAAACCAGTACTTTTATAGTTTTACTTGAGTAAAAAGCTTGAGTTGACTACTTCTACTTTAAAAAAAGTATTTTAAACCCTAGTATCTATACTTCTACTTGAGTAATGAATGTGAATACTTTTGACACCTCTGGTTTTTGGTTGAACTCAAAAAATTTTTGAACTCAGAACATGAACATCAGGGGCGGGGCCTAAGGAGGAACTATGTAAGACATGTTCCTATTGGTTAGTGTGGACTGAAGGGATTTCCTGGTGCACCTACTTTGAGTGTTGTCAATACATGAAATGGCCGTTATTAGAGGTTATCAGTCCCATACGTTGTGTGCAGACTGTCTCTCCTCTGCCTCCTAGTGTGGAAGGCACTTGTGTGCCTGATAATATGCATTTAGACGCAGTGGGTTTGGCTCCTCKCCCAGGACACAGAGCTCAAATGGTCAACCCGGCCCGCAATCTAACTTTGCCCAGGGTAAAGCATTCAATCTGCGGCATGGAGATAGGGGCCAATGGTTGCCCCAGACATTGCTAACAGTTGCTAACAGACAGACAGTGGAGTTTTCCGTGTCTGCTCAGATATGTTTCAAACTTTAATCAACTGATCTCAGTGGTGCGTTAAAGGGGCAATATAATGTACAATCAACCTTTTTTGAGTTTTATATCATGTTATAATGTTATCCTCTCATCAAAAACATGCTCAGAGTTTTGCTTTGACTCATTYGTGCGTGTTTGAGAAACCTTGTAGTGTCCTGAGGCAGCCAGGCAGGGGRACAAAAATGACCGGTTGGGACTAGAACCACCTTTTGGGACCAGCTCCTCCTCTGGGCTGTGTCTCCAAGATGAGCTTCCTCATCACAGAGCACACACACCCAGCCTCCTGCTGAAATGGGCGAGACAGAAGTGGAAGGAGGTTCTTAAAGAGACAGAGGCCAATTTCAAGGTGTTTAGAAACAGATATGATGAGAAGTCAAGTTTATTTTCTATGTAAACTGCATTTTAATAACAACTGAAGGGGAATTTATTATGTTCTAGAATTTCAATATATGCCTGAGAAACATAATATTGCCCCTTTAAACATTTCCTGAAACTTGTGTGTGTTTTTAGTTTGGTTTATTTCATGACGGGAGAGGGGGGAATACAGTATATTAAATCTTGGAAACCAAAATCTAACTATTAAACGAGGTGTGTAATTTGGTTCAAATTTCTGTCTGCGTAGCTCCCTGAAGTTTCATCTGAGGTGGATTTATTTAATTTTATTTGTTGTCATATTTTACACACAACGGAGCCCTGCAACAGAGGTTAGCTTTCTCTGCCCTCCCCTCTCCTTTTTTGCTGTCCAGGAAAGAGAGTGAATATCCAAGAACTGCCTGGAGAAGACCTGCGAGAGGCCTGCTCTGCAACTCACAGTCCAGAGTGCTTGATCTGCRGCATGACTGCAGYRAAACTACCCTGTTGCCTTCTCAGGCTTATTACTCAAAAAGTACWGRTCAGATTTATRTCAAACTTTYAGGAAATAATCAATACACCACAGAGAACATAAGATTCAAGTTTGGAATATTTCAGAGCATGAGTGGGTGTGCGGCTCCAATCGGTTTATCATACTGCAGAGAAAGCACTCCACAYGGTGACTGTTGGATCACAAGCCACATGGAGGTCTTCTCCAGGTGGTTCTCTATGACGATGAACGAATCCCTTTTTTAAAATTTATCCTTTATTTAAACAGGAAAATCTCTTGAGACTCATTGTCTCATTTACAAGACAGACCTGTATCCTAAACTCAGAGCACTGAGGACCAGAGTTGTTCTCTTTCCTACAATCAGAGCCAGCTACAAACGTTCAGCTGGTCAAAGGGACATTTTGGACACATTACCTAAAGCTACTGCCAAAGACACGAGACCAGAGATGACTGAAGCTTTCCTGATGAGCAGCTGTCATAACCATGAGGGTCTGCATCGTGGTTAGGGTCTCTGGTATCTTTTTATTTATTCAGGGGTTGATAAACACCTAGTCAGACAATACTGCTTTTGTTTTCTTCCATCTTCTCTCATCCATTTTATTGGTATAAACAGAATATTTACTTTGTATTTCAGTATTTGAACATTTCCATAATCCATCAGTCTGTTTTCATAAAGTTACTAAAATAATTCATCCATAACTCATTTGGTGATTTGTTTATACATAAATATACTTAATTATGTTGTTCTTCAAGGTTTTTAATGGTTAGTTCAGGGATAAGCTTCAGAACCCAAGAGTAAGGAGCAAAAAGCAAGCTAATGCTAACATATGAGCTAACCTGACTTCCATTATTCCTTATTTATGTTTATGATTCTTTTGCTTTTATTTTGTTACTTTTGATTTAACTCCTGTAATTTGCTTTGAAATAAACTGGCTTAAACATTTGTTGCCACAGACATTAAAAAAACCTGCAGGTTTCCCACCTTTACAGAAAAAATAAAGTTTTMACTTCCATTAAGTAAACTCAGCCACACAAACACACAGTAAATAATCTGAATAAAGCACTTTATTAGCAGATGAATATTAGAAAGAAAAGAAAGATTATAACAGTTAGTGTGTTACATTTGATCTGAAACTCAAAATGTGATATGTTTCTTTTCAACAGCGACTCTACCATCCAATGATTTCAAATAAAACCCCTTCCTTAGAGTTGCACTAAAATAAATACAGAACACAAGCTTATTTCAATTCACCACTCAAATCACTCAAACAACAGTGATGATAAGGATGATGATTTCATACATTTCTAATGAGGTCAGGGGACAAACCATCATTCTCCCAGCCTCATGCATGCCTTAAGAGTTATAGACCTGGGCTTGGTTACAGACAGGTAGAACTGGTATATGTCCAGTATATGTTCACATACAACCAGTATATGTTGACAGCTTGAGCAGGTAATGGTCCAGAAGAYAAGCAAAGCTGACAGGATTCAATTTAAACTGTGGAGCGTTTGAAACARCATGGAGGTAAAGACAGAACAGACTTCACTTGTTATGCATAAGTGCTGCTGCAGGTCAGTTAGCGTYGCTAAAAATCGATGACATCCATGTCACGTTCATTTTCATCATCTTTTCCTGAARTCAAAATAGCTTATAAAAATATTCTTTGTCCTTGTTGTGAGTGTCGTCGACAATGTTTGTTCAGCACTTTATCCTCTGCACTCCAYTCATCTTCACCCAGTCTTTAGTCCAATACATGATGAAGGATTTATTTTATAAAAGCTGAAACTATAAACTACWAAATGTCAGGGCATGCTTTACGACTAACCAACTTCTCTGACTGAACAGAAGACGAGTCAAATCAAAAGAAAAAGAAAAAGTGCTTTTTGATGGTTCCTGAAATGTAACRGTGAAGTAAATAAAGTTCTTGTTCCTGTCTTTGGCCTTTGAACAGATTATGGATACAATTCTACAACCTCTACTGAAGGCAACGATGTAAAAATCAACATAAATTAAAAGTAACACAAAACAAGCAGAAGACACAGCTTTAAGGCTCCCTTCACACTGAAAGTTGGTTTAAAAAGGAAAATCAGCTAGAGCAGGGGTGGTCTGTGCAGGAACAGATGAGGCTTTCAGGGGCGTTTGCATGTCCTGGAAGATCTACAATGTTTCTGCACAAAATATCTAGTGAGGTTGYGTGGTTTATTTCATGATGGTTTGATACCGATCACCACCTTATACTTAGTGACTATGTTCAACATCATGGAAATGTTGCAGCACGACTGATCACACTGGCCTCATGTCCAGGCTACAGCTGGGATTGTTACAAGCTAACTGCTCAGTTGTAGCAYGGTGGGGGGTGAGTGCCCTCAGAACCCGTGTGTTCCTGCATGGTCAAGATGCAGCAAAGCATCTCAGACATGCAGAAAATAGCAGCAAAACCTGTTTTGGTGAGTATTAAAATGCAGTTACGTTATGATTGCCTTCACACTGAAGGAGTTAGCCAAATTTTCCACAGTCCAACCAACTTCTAATAGGTCCTACAGGTCAGTGGTTCCCAACCTGGAGGCATAGCCTTGTCTGCTCAAATGTTGTGAAAATATCCATTTATTTTTGTATATAAAAATCACCAAAACAAATCTATTTGAATAATTAAAACTCTCTATAGCTCATTTCGAACCTTTCTAAATAAAGGTTTGTAACTATTCACACACGACTTTGAGGAAACTAGGTTGGGAACCACTGGTGTAGGCCATCATCTAGTGTGAGGGAGCCCTAATAAATAGTTTTGCCAATAGATGATAGAATATTTAAATAGACAATGGTCGGACCTTAAAAAAAAGACAAACCCAAGATATAAAAGACAAGTCAAGCCTGAATGCATGAACCACGGGGACAGTCTGCACAATATTTAGGAAAGTTAATTCCTTTTTTTTTAGTCAGGGTTTACGGAAGCGTTGAGATGGGATTTAGGCTGATGCAGAACCTCATGAGGCGAGGAGCATAAACACAGGCCATGCAAATGCAGCTCCTTATCCTCTAATATGAGGTTATCGRTCAAACATTCAGACCAAACTGGATTGAAGAAGCTACACATATGTCCAAATGTTGAGAATCGTCCCCTCGCATGATGCCTCTCTGCAGCTTGACAGGCATGTGCTTTACTGGCAGAAAGTGTTGGGATCATGATGATGCACACAGATAAATCAAGTGGCTGTTTTTGTTGCCTGCTTCCTTTCCAGATTGTTGTTGAGATGTTGCAGAAATTCTTTAAATTCTATCTAAAAAAGGCGGGCTGCCTTCTTCAAATCATTCTTCTTCCACAGAGCCAGCCGCTCAAACTGCTCCAAGGTCATACCGAAAACCTGCTGGAACTCCTCTGGAGATAGGTGTCTCTGGAAACGAGAAACAAGTCAGACAAGAATTTTTACCAGCATGGAACATGTATGGTCGTGTGCACAAGATTAACTAACTAACCAACTAATTAACTGACTGACTAACTAACTACCCAACTTCCTTAAAACACTTGTTTACATTTTATAATGGGTCTGAGTGTTCAGAGACCTTTGTTGTGGAGTGATGCTTTATGTGAATAAACTGACCTGAGTTTAATTTGGCTGGAGAATAAAACCCAAAAGGCAAAGGAAGAGCAATAATGTTGTTGCTCTAACCTGTGTGTGTTAATCTACATTTGACTAAAATTTGGAGACAGCATAATTCAGCTGACCTTAAAAAATATGAAAAAGGTTTGAACTCAGTCCAATTTACAGATACAGCGGGTAAAATAAGTATTGAACACGTCACCATTTTTCTCAGTAAATATATTACTAGAGGGGCTAATGA